AATCAAACACTCTACGGGATTAACAGACATTGACTAGGTTATGATTGTCCTAACCAATCAACGAACTTCACTATTATAGAGTCAGTAATTATCTTCCAATCAGATAGTATGAAGCATTCAGCCCGCAGACTCTGCATCGTTCAACTCTTAAGACCGTCTCCGCGGAGACGGTAATTATTGAGGAATTTGAACCATTCCTAAGTGACAAAATTAAAATTTATATATATCAGGGTGATATAACTGACTTTGGAGGATCCAGAGGGGGCGGCTCTCCAGGATTGGGACTCCCTTTTTTTGACGATCAATGCATTTGAATGGGGACATTTGGTTAGAACCCCCCTTTATCCTGGGTTGGAACCCCCCACCCCCCCACCCCCACCCTTTTGAAAATGGCTTGATCTGCCCCTGAATGAGAAAAACTCAAGTAATTGTTATCAAAAAAGATAAAACATGCAGTTAAAATGGTCTTCAGTTGTTTTATATTAAATACTTTATACCTATATTCTACAGTCATGACAGTGCAAATCAAAGGAAAATAATTTAAATTATCTGGTAGTATCATTGAATACAACATAAATATTCAGCAAACATTCTACAAACTTAACCATACTCTATTCAAAAGTAAATTTTATTCATCAAGATAACGAAATAAAATTTAAAATCAGAGCGAATGGACCCAGGGCAAACAGATATTAGGGCTAAGAAGTAATTAAAGGCGATTGTGAATCAGGGCCAACGGACCCGGATTCAAACTCCAGTAGCGTAACTCCTATAGGTCAAAAGGTCATGTTTATAGATTTCGTCAGGTCACCAGTACCTCACTAAATTAATCAAAATGAAATAACAATTAACATGTAACAGACAATTTACGACTTAAATTTCAACATAATTTTGGTTAAAGTTATGAATATCTTTCTTGTACATTTTCGGATAAATACTCAGAATCCAGCAAATTTCCAGTTTGACCATATTCAGCAGGCCTATCCCCACCAGAGACCAAATGATGCACAAGTTAGGTATAGGTAACGGTATGACTGTCAACAATGAGCAATAGCCATACCATCTAGCAAGCTATAAAAGGCCTTGCAATGACAAATGTAAAATAAATCAAACAAGAAATTGACAGTCTGACGTTTATAGTTTTGGCGACTGTTAAGAATTTAAAAAAAGCCTTAATATTGTAAATTTTTGTGTGCATTTATTATTGCTTATTTTGAATAATGGACAAAAATACGAGATTGATTATTGTGAATTCAGGAAAATCTGCATACATATATATGTATCAGATATAAGAATGCAATACAGCTCTCAGTTGCATTATTCGCATTAATAAAAACCTCGCAATAATTTCTGAATATACAGTATTGTAAGATTCTCAAAGTGTACACATGGAGTTGTGAAACTGTTACATTAATCATGCTAATTAAACATGTTAAAGATTGACATAATGAGATCATGGGATAATGGCACTACCTCTTTGATTTTAAAGTCGTCGGAATCAATCGTTAATATTAATTTGCATGTACAAACGCATACACTCATGCAATAGACATGTGGTCTTCAAAAATAAGAGGTATCCATGCTTTATATTTAACAAGATCTAAATGTTAGTATGACGTCAATTTTTTGCCATGTTTTCGCCAGCCATCAGATCCTGGGTTCATCTGTATTACTTTGATTAATGTTGGAAAAAAATTGTTTGTACGAACAAAAAAAAACTTGCCCCAACAAAAGACAAAGGATCCATTCCTTAATAAATAAATAAGGTTAATTTAGAATAATGTGTTTATCATTTTTTTATGTTTAGGTTGCCAGCAAGGTGAAAAGAACAATGCAGTTCAAAAGTCAAACTGAAGATATGCTGAGGTATAAGGTCCTACTTGATTTTCATATCTTGCATGAATGCATTTGAAGTTTATATCATGGAGGGCAGAGAAGGAAAAGAAACACTTCAATTTTCCTGCATCTGAAGGATAAGTGAAAACTCATCTTGTTCTGTAAGTTTAATGGCCTTTTTTGATAGTTTTTGTGCATCCATCTGTCCAGTCCTTTCTCTGAATTGTATCCGTTTAAAGTTTTTGTTTACAGTTCACCATGAACTTCAGTTAGTCACTTGTGGTTTTACATTTATATAATTAAAATTTAGTACTTATGTTCATATGATGTGTTTTTTATACATTATACACCATATAACTGTTTTTACCTTGATTTCATGGATCACTGAACATAGAAACGAAAAAATTATAGTACATTCTTAGGTTAAAGTTTTTAGGTTAAGGGACATAGCTTATAATGAAATTGAATTTCGTGCACATGTTCATTATGTGGTGAACTTTTAAATTCAATGCCAAACTAAGATTTTGCGCCTGATTACATAATTGACTTAACATTGACTCATGCTAGTGTTCGCGGGGCATGGTGTCCTGTACTGTCGTTGAGTATGGAGTTTTTTGGTCAATGTTTAATAGTAGTGGGGTTTTTGCATGACATTCTGACAACTGCTTGTTAATCATGTTAATACATGTATTAAAATTAATATCTGACACATTGGTGTTTTGTGAACTTGGAAGTAAGTTATTTGATAGAGTAATAATGTTTTGAGATTATCAAAATAAAAAATATCCCATTTTTACTGTTAATAATTAATATTAAAAAAAAGAAGATTTAGGATGAATGTATAAACATATATAAAAAAGAGACAGCAACCGAACAACACAAAAATAAGAAAAAAAACAATATAATTTTTTTGTGTCAATGTTCTAACGTTCAAAGAGTTCAAGGTATTTTCTCATTGAAATAAAACAGAACATGCAGAAGTTGAACTCTTACAGAAGCTTAAAGTATTGCTGTTTCTGTTGTTGGCGTTTTGTATATATTGCAAATTCTTGTGAAAAATGGAATGTTATTGTAATTGCCTAAAGTTTTAACATTGATCTATATATATAACTGGGAAAAATACCCAAATGTTATAGAGGAGAATACATAAATTAATTGTTATATAATATTAAGATAAGAAGATGTGGAATAATTGTTAATTTGACAAATCTCAATCAGAGACCAAAGGATGTAGGAGGTTAGCAACTGTTGACATTGGACGACCTTCAACAATCAGCAAAATCCATACCGCATAGCTATTTTTGTTGAAAATGTTACATGTATGCACATCTTTTTTTATTATCAATAACTTAGGATTTTATTGGTTCTTTTTCAAAAGGATTGAAATGCATCACTTAGAATAAAGGGAGAAAACACAGAAACAAGACCAGAATAAATTCAAAGACAAAAGTCAGATCAGTTATAATTTTCATCAGTCAATGAACTGAAGTTCTATTAAATACAAATAGATTTTGAAACCATAATCATGACAATGTTCTGTACTGAATAGACAAAAAGTGGACTATACATTACGATCACACAATGATGCCCTGTCCCATGGGATATTGAAAATCCCATGTTTTTCTAAATCAAATTGCAAAATATATATTATAATAACAGCAAAAAGCAATGAATTTATAATAAATAATTGAATCCCATGTAATTCTGCACATTTTGGTTATATACATGATACTGTAGCTCTAAGGAGAGGCGGCGGCAGATTTGCAAATGAGTGTTTTGCAAATTAAAAATGTCCAGTGTTCATTGTTGAATGCCGTACGGTTGCCTATAGTTGCCTTTTTCCACATGTTTTTTTTCAGTGTTGCTAAAATGTTTTTTATTCTTTATTTCATTCTGTACCTTTCGGGCCATTTCTTGAATTTTATAGGGGGATGCCCGAGCCAAAAAAAGTAGCTCATAAGCATCAAATTATTAATTTTTTGGTCGAGGAAAAATTTGTTTTAAGAACTTAATATTGAATTTAATGGCAAATTCTGTTTTTAATGAAATCGGAATTATTATTTTCCCTTTTCTCTCATAAAAATATTTTTCTTCAAAGTCCGGAATCCTATTTTTTTTCCAGAAATAAAACAACATAACCGCCCCTTTTCCCTCAGATTAAAATGGTCGTGCAATAGAAAGTGCAATAAGGCTACATTTTAAATTTGAGCCCTTTGAATTTGAAACACAAAACGTACAATACATTTTCCCAATTATATCATTTAGATGTTAACTGTCAGATACATATATATATATATATATATATATATATATATATATATATTCACACTTTAAAATGTTTTCTTACATATAGGGGTCGTCAAAATTTAAATGTAAAATTAAGAAAATAACCTTGCCTAAATATTGTCATGTTGAGGTCTCGTCATTTAAAATTTTTTAGAAAAAGTGCAAAAAGTTATCCACACCCCATAGATTTCTTCCTAATAACATAATTATTAAGAATGAGTGCTTGGTAAGGATTGAATAACAGACAACCTAATATACTGCCAAATATGTCTAGAAAAGAAAATATAACCATTTCATTTTTCTATTCTTGGTACTTGGCATTTTTAGTTGCATTGTGTCACAGTCCTACGCCATCCTAAAATTACAAAAAAAAAAAAAAAAAAAAAAAATAACACAAAAAAGACTAAACTTTAATGAATAGATTTGTCAGCTGTGACTAATTATAAGGAAACGACAATTTTATTTAGGAGAGAGTTCTAATACTTGTTGCTTGGTAGGCATACTTATTATTTTGCACACAATTATATCCTACATTTTAAGGGGCAGAATTATTCATTTGTTCATGTATTGAGCAAGATTATATTTCTGTAGGGTTCTCATCAGGCTATCAGAACATACATTTCGAAATACTCCTGCCCCTCAAAAATTTTTTGGGCGTCACCTAAGCAATTTCGATTGCAATTATTTAGGTATGTTTTTTCTATACTCGGCCGCTCATTTCAAATTTAAAACAAATAATAAAAAATATATAATTATCGACTATTCTGAGAAGCCGTTTTATTTTAATAACACGAAACATGAAAGTGAAAACAACTTGTAACTTTATCTAAAAGTTTAACAATATTTTATCGATCCTATTTCGAATCACGCAACTGAAATTTTGACAGAACGTCACAGATGTTTTGCAAGGAGGAAGGATATTTGGTCTTCGTCAATCAAGCTGTGAGTTTAGTAAATCAATGTTTTTTTCTAGATTGAAACTGAAAATGAAATCAATCAAATTAGATTTCTTCAGTTTGAAATACATCCTTGAAAGTATTTGTTACATAACCGTCTATGTCCGTTTTATATTTTGATAGCATCCCTTTCAAGACTTAAGTTGAACAACTAAGAAGTAAATTAAATTGAAGATTTTGATAAGATATCTGCAGTATATTTTGTTTGTCTAAGAAAAAGTATTACTTGTCTGTTGCGTCCTGAAGTTTAAAATTTCTAGTCAAGACTAACAGGATGGTGTTTAATCGTTCCATGTAGAAAAAAAAATTAAAAAACTCAGGGTATGCATGATTAAAAGTAAAGTAATATATCTAACGAAAATAAAGATGAAACTACTTCAATGGAGCAAAAACACAATAAAGACATTGCCATCCAATTTTTCGATCCACGAAGAACACAATATCTTTCGTTTCCTTTAAAACAATAATGAAGGAGTTCGTTTACAGATTTTTTTTTTATATATCTAATTTGGTATATACATTTCAACAATCTAGATTAAATATAATAAGGAGAAACAAATCCTAAGTGAAAAAGATTGAGAGAAGGTAAGAAAAAAATAAAACAAAACAAAACAAAACTAACGAACCCAGCACCTTCAGTCCACCCCATCTCATTAAACAAAATATGTCGACATCACAAGCAAACTTTATGGAAGCAATGCCGGACGAGAACAATGACAATATATACCCTTTTAAAATGATACTTTGCATTAGAATAGAGGAAGAAATAATTTTCGCGCTATAAAGATATTATCATACATACTCATATCCTTTTAAGTATCAATATATTAAAGGGGCATTAGCTTTCAAATTCACGTTCACCGTTTCTTATACATTAGGGATCAGATTGAAATACTGAATAGGAGGACCAGAGTCTAAAACGCTGGAAATTGATTTGTTTTACCTCCTCAGACGGATAATTTATATTTTTATCATATTTCTTTCCTCACAAATTATAAATATGATACATTTCGAAAGGTGAAATCTGATATTTGTTTTGCTAAGGGTACATTTGTTCCATAATTGTAAAGTAAGATTTATTTAACTCCTATAAAGCTCGAGCAACGTATAATTGCATACTTTAAGAAAAATAAACTCCAATTAATAGTAATAGCACTGGGGAAACGCATATTGAAAAAAAAAATTGAGAAATCAAACAAAATTAGAACGAAATGAAAAGCACAATAACAGTCGGGACACATAGCGAACTCCATAATAATATGGAAGTGGCTAAATTCGACTGTATTATGAAAAAATATAATATTATGGAATTGGCTAAATTCGACTGTTGGCTAAATTCGACTGTATTATGAAAAACTATAATATTATGGAATTGGCTAAATTCGAATGTATTATGAAAAACCATAATATTATGAGATTAAATAATATTTCCAGTAATATTATGCGAGCCCATAATTTTGAAAATTATTGAATTTCATAATTATGCATGAAAAAATGAAATTTAATATGTCCGAAAAACAATTTTTTGGGTACTGCTAATAAGTTCCGTAATTTATTAATCTAAGAATGCTTTTTTTATGATCATCTATTGATTATATTCATCCGACAATCGTCGCCTTCCTTGCATCTTCATTATAAATGCTTACGTCATAACCGTCTTTAATCTGGTTCAGTATTTTGTACAAGAAAGACAACGCGTGTCGTCTTATAAGCAATATGTTTGTTACATGTGTTATCGTTCCTTTAACAACGAATACATCGTCTTGTAGAAAATAATTGTTGAAAATAAGTGTGTAATGATTTTCTGCTTTTATAATTGGCTGCTTTAAAATTTAAAGGATTATGGGTAATTCCATTGGCCGTACCCCAAAATGCAAATAATGTCACGTCAGTGGTTAAAATTCCATTGTTTAGGAAGTTGTCAGCCAGTTACAACGCTAGCTTTGGTGGACGCTTTTTTGAAAATATAACCCAAAATGCATCAGATTATGAAACTGCGAATTGAAGGCAATAGATAAACACGAGGGAAAATATGATATCTTCAGTGTTTGTTTTTCTGTATTTATGTTCGCAACAAAATTTACCTTGTGGGAGGGTGCAAGAGGATTTTTGGCGGATTGAGTATTTAATTTCATTTGTTGCTACATGCATTTATTTTTTTCCGCGGCTTTGCTATGACAATGTATGTAAAGCTTTGCACATAACAGTTTCCTGCAATTCTAGTTGCAAAAAATGAATTCTTATCCTGTCTAATACAAGGTAATTTTTTCAGCTCTAACCAGGCCAAGATAATCATTTTCAAAATCCCAACACCCCCTCCCCACCTGAAAATTAGTTTTTTTATTTTCTTGATATCTATTTTCCTTTTTTGTTGTCATTTTATGTTGCAGTATATTGTTTATGCACCTTTGTCCTGTAGCCATTGCTGTTATCCATCAAGAATGCAAACAAATCACCGTCATTATAAAATTGGTTTTTAAATATGCTTTAAAAAATAAAGAACTTGTAATGCACGTGCTCCTATAGATTTCCGTTTTCATTTGCAACTTTTTTTTAAATGCATGGAATTCAAACAATTTTCAAAAGAAAACGGAAACTTTATCTCAAAATATCGATGGAGAACACACCTAGTCAGAAATAAAAAATAAGAAATCAAATATTCTTTTGATTGACAATCAATTTTAATGTTGATAACTTTATGTTACAGTACTATTGCAGACGACTTGGAGGAGCTCTAGTTGAAATAGATGGACAAGATGAATACTTGACAGTGATAAACCTCGCAAAAGCCCGAAGTAAGTTTATTTTAGAAAGCATAGGATGATAAAAATATATTCTTTTTTTATGCATCAGAAGTTTGTTTTTTTTAAAGTATTTTTATCATTGTCAATAACTAGCGAAGATATAACTTTTAATATGCATAGTGTAAACAATTCCTCTAGCCTAAGACAAATCAATTTTATTTTACAGATTTTCCTAATTTCTACATTGGATTGACAGATATCTATTTCGAAGGAGTGTGGATGAAAACTAATTCACTTGACGTTTAAACTTACTTTAATTGGTATCCAGGGGAACCCAACAATAATGGTGGCCAGGATTGTGTTCAGGTGTACCGTACGAACTTAAAAATGGACGATGCAGGGTGTCATTTGCACAGGCATTTTGTTTGTGAAAAATAAAGCGAAATACAGTTTTTTTTTTTTATCTTGTAGAACAATTAATCACTTAGTCCCTTGTCTGTCATTTTAGTATTTTAAATGTGTTTTCACGATAATCAATAACGCAGATTGCTTACTGAGTCAATCTGTTGATGGCTTTTACAGGATAATGAAAAACAAATCACTCAATTTCATTGAAGTATTGCAATGATTTTTTTTTTCAATTTGTTATGAACATGTGGGATGATTAACGCAGTCTGTTTCTTTTAAACTAGTTCAATTTTTCTCATTTATCATAGTAAATTGTGCTTTCTTCACGTTTAATCCCAGTTGTATTTTTTGTGTGTTAATGTGCAGACGAGCCTGTCTTATTTTTAGACGATATAAATCGGAATAGGAGGATCCATTATTCACAAAATACTACTTACACACTTTTGTACGTAAAACCACTGTTTTCAAAATTCGGCCTACGCGATTTTGTCAATTGTTAGATAAATTATGATGATTCCCCGGGTGGTAATTCGTGCATTGCAATTTCGCTTCGAAATGACCTATTGGGTAAAAATAAAAATCTTGTAAATTTTGCATGCAATAAGAAGATACTTAACGTTGATTACTCAAATTAAAGGAAATATAGGGTAAACACTATTGATACTGCAGCCAAGACAACAAGCCTAATACACATAACCAAGTTGTAAGTCGCACGTACCCTCTAGTCTAGAAAAATTATGATAGACGTTTGTTGCAGTGTCAATATGTTTTGGTTCAATAAACTGTTAGTAGTACCCTCTTTTTTGTTTTATCTTGATCCCTGATTCCTTACATCTCAATATAAATGTGCTATCAGGACTGTTTTCCTTTTCGTAGAATATGAATGGTCAATCACTCTTTTTGTGAAAGATTTAGGTTGTCATATTTAGTTTTTTATTTAGAGTTTTGTGTACTGTTGTTTCTCCTTCATCCTTTATTTCTAGAAAAAAATGTCAGTCTTGCAAAGATTGACGACTTTTTATCAACCTCATGGTATCTTCTTGTCTTTTTGATTTCACGAATGTATGTTTATACATGTATAACGGCCTTGTGAGAGGTTTGACTAGCTATAAAACCAGGTTTAATCCACCATTTTCTACATAAGGAAATGCCTGTACCAAGTCAGGAATATGACAGTTGTTTTCCATTCGTTTGATGTGTTTGAGCTTTTGATTTTCCTTGGAGTTCGGTATTTTTGTTATTTTACCTTTTTTGATTATTCAATGAGGCAACTAGCAACTAAAGACCAATTGAAAATGATGTAAACAATTACAGATCAACGAAAGGCCTTCAATAATAAGCATCGAATGAGAACAAAAAGTATATATGTATATAACAGTATACATATTGACGTGGTCATATCGTCAAAAGCAAGACAACTACCATGGTAATATGATAAAAATGAGAATGGAAACGGGTAATGTGTCAAAGATACAACAACTCGACCAAAAAACAGAAAACAACCTTAGAACACCAATGGGTCAACAACACAGCGAGAAAATCCCGCATCCGGAGGCGGGCTTCAGCTGGCCCCTAAACAAAAATGTGTACTAGTTCATAGAACATAGACATCACACTAAACTCCGAAACATATAAATGAACCGAAATTAAAAAAATATATAAGACTAACAATGGCCAGAGGTTCCTGACTTAGGACAAGTTCAAAAATGCGGCGGGGTTAATATAAAAAAGAAGATGTGGTATGATTGCCAATGAGACAACTCTCCATAAAAGACCAAATGACACAGAAAGTAACAACTATAGGTCACCGTACGGCCTTCAACAATGAGCAAAGCCCATACCGCACAGTCAGCTATAATAGGCCCCGAAATGACAATGTAAAACAATTCAAACGAGAAAACTAACGGCCTAATTTATGTACAAATATGAACGAATAACAAATATGTAACACATAAACAAACGACAACCACTGAATTACAGGCTCCTAACTTAGGACAGGCACATACAAAAAGAATGTGGCGGGATTAAACATGTTAGCGGGATCCCAACCCTCCCCCTAACCTGGGACAGTGGTGTAACAGTTCAACATAAGAACGAACTATAAAAATCAGTTGAAAGAGGCTTAACTCATCAGATGGATAAAGATACAAATACAAGTGGACGTGGCCGGGTACTTGTACATCCAAACAACAAGAAGACACTAAGTACAGATCTGAGAGTACTCGCATTCCTGACAGCTAGTTCAAAGCCACTAACAACTAATAAAAGAAATCATGCATCTAAGACTAAATTATCAATCCGTACACATCCAGCATCCAATGGATTTAGTGTAAAGACGTCATAAACAGTCAGAGAAAAACATGACCTTGTGCAATGCCAAGATACAGGTATCGACAAATTGTTGATCCATGAATGTGTATATGTATGTAACAATAATATTTAGTTTGCTTTTAATTTACTGATAACAAAATCAATATTAGTACCAATAAAAAACATAATGTAGTGATCTCATTACAGTGTTGAATTGGTAACCTTTTAGAATAAGTTTATTTGAAGGATCGATAAGTTTACCAGGATCGTTTCTAAATATCCGGGCACGGTAAACAATATTGCCGTAAAAATGAAGTCGTGTAATCCCGTTTTAAATAAGTTTTCTACAAGTACAATCAAACTTCAAAACCAAATCTTTATATCTGTGAAAGAATTTAGTAAAGGTTTTAAGTAATTTGTGGTAACGAAATCCCTGGCTTAATAATTTACCAGTAATACATAGATAACGTTCGTTAAAATAAAAAACGTCACAATAGACAAGGGCATAGCGAACGAGTTGTGAAATATAAACACCGTAAGATGGTGCCAAAGGAACATCACCATCCAAAAAGGGAAAATTAACAATAGGGAACGAAAAATCGTCCCTTTTGTCGTAAATTTTAGTGTGGAGTTTCCCGTGTAAAACCGAAATATCTAAATCTTGGAAAGGACAGTTGTTACCGTTTAAATTTGATTTATTTAAAGTAAGTTCCTTTGGGTAAATTTCGGCAGTATATTGAGAAAATTCTTGATTATTTAACGAAAAAATATCATCAAGATAACGGTAAGTGTTGTTGAATTTATCAATTAAATGAAATTTAGACGGGTCTTTACTGAGTTTGGTCATAAACTGTGATTCATAACAGTACAAAAACAAGTCTGCTATTGTGAAATCTCAACCCTCCCATATACCTATATCCAATGTAGAATAAACAAACACACAGCAAAACTCAGTTTAAAAGAAGCCCGAGTCCGATGTTAGAGTAGGTAACAGAAGAAACTAAGCAAAATGACATAAATTAAGAAAGGACTACTAGCAGTTACTGACATGCCAGCTCTAGACCTCAATTAAAATGATTGAAAGATTATGTCTGCACCATATGAAAATCAAGCACAATCCCTCCCGTTAGGGATTCAGTATCATACCATCATAAAATATACGAGAAGAACATAACTCGTAAACAAATCTGTTATACTGTAAGAATTTAGGAGATGTGGTATGATTGCCAATCAGAAAATCATCCACAAAAGAGCAAGAGACAATGATGAAATTAAATGCAGAATAACGAAAGGCCTTGAACAACAACCATTTAAGTGGACGTGATAAGAGTAAATGCTAGTACCAAAACAATGCAATATACATATTGACGAGTTTATATCGACACAAGAAAGACAACTATTATAATAATTCAAACATAATAACTCGTAAACAAATCTTTTATAATATGGAAATAAGGATATGTTCTATGATTACCAATGATCCAATGGTCTACCACAGAACAAATGAAACTGATAAAAATATCTGTAGATATGTACATGTTATGCATTCATTCGATAATATATTCATTAAGTCTTAAAAGATAATTGAACATAATGAGGAAAGGTAGGGCCCTCATTTGTCTATCTTCCGTGATTATTGTGTTATTTTCGATATAAATCAGGCCGTCAGTTTTCTCTGTCGAGACAGTTCACGTTTTATTATGCTGGTACCTATCAATGCTTACTATACGGCATGGTATAGCTTATTGTTGAAGACTGTACAGTGTCCATTCTCGTCATGTGGTCTTTTATTGATAATCTTATTATTTTTATATTAATTTACTTAAATTTAATTTAAATCTTAATGTGTCTACAATTGTGCTAAATACTACAAAGGGGAATCCGTTATCTTAATAGGAGGCTGTTTTAACTGAAATGAAGCAAGCATAGTAACTTAGTATGTGTTTATTATTGTATTATAATATTCTTTTACTGCTTCAAAATGTCAAGTTTATGTTTAAGGAAATTAGTTTATAAAACATTTGATTCTATCTTAATTGTTCAAGGAAGCAGACGCGGAAACTATTCATTGACATCATTGTTTTATAGCAGATATATTGAAAGAAATAAGTAGACTGAGAGAGAAAGAGAGAGAGAGAGAGCGATAGTAATAAATTCACCACACCAATAGCTTTCTTCCTATTAACATAAATAATAATCATTATTTTGGGTGGGATTGAATATTAGACACCCTCTTTGAAAATAGCAGTGTGTCACAATTCTGTTCCATCTTAAAAGAAATACAGTGGATTAATCATTCTTTGTGGAGTATCACGAAAATAAATGAATCCACAGTAAACTATCATCGGTGTTCAGCTATGACTTAGTAAATAAGATTGCACTTTTTGTCAGTATTTGTTTCTTATACTCCTATGGTAGTTTCAAATTAAGGAAATCATGAAGTATGCATAATATATATATCATGTATCTGATAATCGTCGACTTAACGATAAATTTGTTAAACAGTTGAAGAGCTATATCACCAAAAAGGACCTAAAAAAATAGCAAAATCCATCTAATTTGCCTAAGGTCAACTTTGCCTGAAGGAGTTGAAACCCTAGTTCAAATCACGAAATTGGAGGTAAATAATGCTTTAGTTTGTTCATTGAAACTGTACTTTCAAGTCTTTTCTAACTGATACTTTTAATTAGATTTTATGTTATGCTATTGCACCACTGTTTCAGGATTGCCGAGCG